CATCCCGCGGCCGCGACTTTTCAAGTCTGTCGCCTGAGTTGTTGAGACGGGCATCCCGCGGCCGCGACTCCCTCTCCCGCGGCCGCGGTGAGTAAAACTGGGAGCTGGGCACTTGATTTCCGGACTCGTATCGACGCATTCGGGCTCGGAATTGGATTCCGTCTTTTCCTACTCGACCCCAACTCGTCCGCCTAAATAGTTATCTTCGCATAGTCACTTTCCAATCGAACTACCTGACCTGTAGGCCACCACCGAGAAGAAAAACGTAGAAAATCGAGAAAAAGACACAAGAAAAAAACCAAGAGCGAGCAAAATAAAGAAAACACGCGACACGACACAAAATGGACCAAGAAACAAAGAAAATAACCTAGAGTGGGAAAAAATGAATGCAAAATAAACACGAAAACACTAACAAAAATGGAACGAACATATATCCTTCCTCGTCGAATGCTTGTTCAACTACCATTGTTGATGCCGGGACATCAAATTCTCCTTGCCACTAAGCATAGGATTGAATAAATGAGAGACGTCTTTAACCACCAGTCCAAGACGTCGAATTTTTATGGCGGAATTGGTTCACGAGCAATTGTAAGTATCAAATTCATCGTGAGGTAGTGATGGAGCTCACTGTACTAGTCCCATTTGCCATTTAAATCTTAGCATTTTTGTAGGGATTAAAGTCATCCCACCAGTCATCAAAGTTTTAGGCTTTATTGCGTTGTCTGTTCTCATTGTCCATAAGAAGAAGACCCAAAAGCAATTGAAGAAAATAACATCAGTTTTCCCCCGAGTCCGATTGATGTTTCCTTAAACAATTCATATAATAAAAATTTGGCTTGCTCGACGAGCTGCCGTGGAATAGGTCTTACACTGATACCCGAGACATCATTGTAACTGAGAAGTGAGAGTTGATAAATAATATCGTAATATGTATATATTCAGTTGGTTGAGCATGTCATTTTCACGCAACGACGGATCTAACAAAGTTGCAACTAAAAATGTACGGGAATGAAAAAATAATATTTAAACCATTTTCTTAACATTTCTCTTACTAGTTCGGAATGTAAGTGATGGAGACGAGACCGCGATAGCGTTTTTAAATAAATATGATCGTCTTCGTATTTAGTTTGGTTCATTTATTATTATTAGTCTTATTTATTATTGGGCTCTTTTTATTATTATTATTAGTGTTGGGCCTTTTTGGTTATTTGCTGAACTTTTAAGATTAGGGATTTCTGATGTATTTAAAGATCGTCTTCTCCCTTTGAGAGGACATACTTGATTTATTGAAAAAATTAAGATTTCTCTTGAGAATTGTTCGTGTTCTTCCCAATCATACATACGCTCTACATCTGTAAGCCACTATCACTACTAAAAATATCTCTAAAACTCCAAATTACAACTACAATTGACTTACAACAAGTTGAGGAGTAGGATAGTAAACACTAGAAAGTACGTTTGGAGGTAGAGAAAGATGGTTTGTTTGATGGGTATTCAGTTATTAAGCCCGCCATTGAAGGGCTGGCGGAGGAGGCCGACCGAGCTTCACGGAGGTGGCGACAGCGATGGTGGCCGACGAATTTTTGGGTAGGTGGTCGACGACGCAGATGGTGGCCGTGAGTTTTTGGGCTTCCAATTGGGAGATTTTTTTTTTCCCACACTTTAGTGGGACGATGGGGAGGTATGAAATTTTTTTTTTCTTCAGACGATGAGGACCAATGATGATGTGACTTACATTAAAAATAAATGGTTAATAATAATACTTATATATATGTATAGTTTATCATAAAGAGAAGGAATGAGTAGAGAACGCATAGAGAAAAAAAAAAAAAGGGAATGAATAATGGATTGTGAATTTATTTGCCAAAAATTTACTTTTTTAACCTCGTTTTTTTTTTTTTCAAATCCATCTAATTCACAATTTTTTTTTTTCAATAATATCAATATAATTAAGTTACATTAATCAATCATCATTACATCACACCAGTTTTAATTCATGATTCATTCAATCACATAATTTTAACTAATCACCACTTCCAATCATCATCACATATATTTACATCAAATCAATTTTAACTTTTCTCACACTTTTACATCAACTCAATTACAGTCATCTTATTTGAAATATTATTTTAATACAAACTCAAAAATACCACTCAAACTTAACTCAACCAACATTTTTCAAAATTAATTATGATAAAAAAAGAAAAATAAATAAAAAAATCAAAACCAAACTATGGAATCAAAAACTCATATCAAGCAACCCTTATTAGCCATGATTACAGACCGAACTAGTCCGCCAGTCTAGCCTGAAGTTGCCTAGAACCGAAATGTGGTCAATGGACCTTGAATCGAGTCCGCTGTTTGATCGGGCGAGTCCTAGGCCACATGCATGTATTTTTTTAATCGTCGGGCAGATTCCAAACCGACATCAGAGCCGACCCGTGTATATCTTTGGGCTGGTTCAGGGCCATTTAACCTTTAGCCCGGAACCGACGGGTTGGACTGGAAACCGATTTTTTGGCCATGTCGAACCCTTCAAAAACCCTCGTCTGGATTTGAACTCACCCCTCAAATCGCCCAAATCCCCCTTTTATCACTCAAACCTGCAGAGGCTCGAATCCCATTCGAATGCGAAAATGGCGTCCATCGGGCAGGCGTTCAGATCTCTGATTCGAACACGCACTATCAGCACCCGATTGTACTTCACGACGAGCAAGCAAAACAAAAAAGCATCGCTGTACGCGAGAATCAGCCCCCTGGGGAACCCTGGCGTGAACGTAACTCTAGAGCTCGACAAATGGGTCGAATCAGGCAACAAAGTCGGGTTTTCGGAGCTTCAACGTATAGTTTTCGACTTTCGCAAACGCAGACGGTACACTCACGCCTTGCAGGTACTCAACTCATTAAATTGCGCATATCAGCCCTTGGATTGTGCTGTTTACTCATTTCATAGGTGAGAAATGGAACCAGGGAAAGCTGTGAAATCCATAATTTTACCTTCATATAGGTCAGTATGATGCAGTGTGATGTTTGATGTGCTTCTGTGGGGGGTACGTTGGTGTACTCTGGCTAAGGGATTGTCGGAGTGAAATGTTTTGCACGCGTCGAGCATTTGTGTTTTTTCGACACGATGTGCCTGAGAAGATGAATTCATGGATAAAGAAAACATGTTGATAATAAACATGTGAGATTGCTCTTTTGAATTGGTTGTCTGTGTAAATGTGCAATTACATATGCCTTTGAGTGAAAAAATTAGCTTAATCAAACAAGAATAAGACCATTTATTGTAGTGGTAGTTCGTCTTCTAGTTTTTTCGTTGAACGATATCCTAATATTCTGTCTATATTTTCACAGGTTTCTGAGTGGATGAGAAATAGAGATACATTCGAGTTCACCACTATTCATCACGCAATCCAATTAGATCTTATCGGTGTAGTTCACGGCATTACACAAGCAGAAAACTACTTCAACAGCTTGAGCGAGCAATTCAAGAATGAGAAAGTATACGGTGCTCTTTTACATTGTTACGCTCGTAAACGCCAAATTGAAAAGGCTCAATCACATCTTAACACCATGATAGAAAAAGATATTGTTCTATCTTCACCAGCTTTCAACGACATCATGGGCATTTACTTAAACACTTCTGAAAATGAGAAGGTCCCGGGATTTCTAAAACAGATGAAAGACAGTGGCATCCAGCCCAATAATCTCAGTTACCGGCTCTGCATTAATTCGTATGGCGTGAGATCTGATATTGAAGGAATGGAAAACATTCTTGATGAGATGGAAAGTGATTCCAGCATTGTTATGGACTGGAAAACATATGCAGCCGTTGCGAATTTCTATATCAAGGCAAGCCTCACGAGCAAGGCGAATGTAGTCCTTAAAAAAGCTGAGGGCCGACTGGGTTCTAAAGATGGGGTAGCGTACAACAGTCTTATCTCGCTGCACGCTCGACTGGGGAACAAGGATGATGTGTTGAGGCTTTGGTGTCTCGAGAAGAAAGCTTGTAAGAGGTACCTTAACCATGATTACACAAACATGTTGGAATCTTTAGTGAAGCTCGGTGAATTTGATGAAGCAGAGAATGTACTCAGCTGTTGGGGGTCGTCTGGCAATCAAATTGATCTCCGAGTGCCGAAAGTACTCGTCTTTGGATATACAGAGAAGGGTTTATGTGAAAAGGCTGAGATGTTGCTTAACCACTTGGTGAAGACGGGCAAGGGGACGTTACCAGATATGTGGGGCCGAGTGGTGGAGGGGTACCTAGAGAAGGGTGAGGTGGATAATGCTGTCAACACTCTGAAAGTGGCACGTTCTGTGCATGATGCGAGTGATTATAGTAAACTTGAAAAGATGATTTCCGATTACAAAGAGAGGAACAAATGACGCATTTAGAAGGAGTTTTAAGCTTTTGGTGGTGGTGAATAGGTAAGAAGACTAATGTTTGAAACTAGTTTCTTACTGGAGTTCTGGTAATGAAGTGAGTTATAGAGTTTGTAGAGATCATCGAATTTGATAGTTATGACAGATGAGAAGTTATGAAATATATGGAGAAAATTTTTGTGTTTGGGGCCAGATAGAAGTGAGGGACCACGAATGAAATATAAATAATTTCCCGAGGGAAGCAGATACTAATAATAATACTAAAAAAAAAACTTCATTCTAAAAAATATAAAATAACACTATAGTTATGGGTAACCACGAATGAAATCAAGTTCACAAATTTCACCAAAGAAATAGCTCAACCAGGACATAATTTCCAACGCAAATCATTAATCCAACATTTGATAGAACCATGAAGCAAAAGTTGTCAACAATAAATATTCTGCAGAACCACATTCGACTTATCCATAACTTGTAACTTAAACAAAAGCAACTGCAGAATCACATTCGACTTATCCATAACTTGTACCTTGAACAAAAGCAACTATAGGTGCAGTGCACGGCTATTCCCAGAAAACATCACGCAACTACCCAACAAAA